GAGAGAGAGAGAGAGAGAGAGAGAGAGAGAGAGAGCACTGCTTTGTCTCTGAATCTGGACAAAAGATGAGTCCAGATTCAGAAGGAAGGACGCCCGCTAGGCCGAAGTGTGGTGGCGGGGCTGAAAGGTGTGAGAGGCTCCAGGCGTGGGCTGCCAACGCTGTTTCGACCTGGACCCCTCAAATTTTTTTTTTGGCCACTCCCCACAGCTACCTGGGACCAACTGCTCCCCCCCAACAAAGAAATAATGGCCCACCTGCAACATTGACGCTGATTGGACGTTGAAAGCACTCAGGTGTATAAAACGCAACCCTAAGTTTGCAAACTCAGGTGCATTGCAGTAGCGGCTTCACTGCTTGGTCTTTGAGGGACCATCGGGGCAGAAAATGGCCTCTCTCATTGGACAAGCTCTGAGATTCTGGAATTAATGAATCTGCTGAATCGACGGCCACAAAGCCGTATCGCTTGGTGGAAACTCGTGGATGCCGGAGAGGCCTTCCTGTCTGGGACAGGAAGATCTGCGGCGCGGTGTACCCTGGGCAAAGCCCACAGTTGATTGACAGTGAATTTGGGCGTGAAACGTGGACATGTTTTCCGGTGAAGTGCAGAATATCAGATCAACCATTGATTATCTGCACCTGTCTTCAAGCACCTCCAGATTCGGGCGTAGAATCCAATCCTCTTTGCGAGTGTGACCTCGCCCTATGTTTGACAGCGAATCATGTCACAGTAGTTTCGTTCAGAATTATTTGCTTTCGTTCAACGGGCTCCCATCGGATTCGAACACAGGTGTCGATTCCAACAGTTCACGGGTGTACCACCCCCTGAGCTACTGGTAGGCCCGTTCCTTTTCCCGTTTTGTACTGTGGTACTGCAGGCGCAGGCTGGGCTTATTAGCACTGTTTCGATTTCGATTGTGCTGGGCCCTACAGGGGCCAGGTCCCACTAGCAGCGTTGAGTTTCCTCAACGCCCGAATCTGGACGTGTCTGTGGATAGGTGCAGAAATCGCGTTGAGTTTTCTCAACCGCACATCTCCACGAACGCATCCAGATTCAGGCGTTGGGGAAACTCAACGCTGCTAGTGGGACCTGGCCCCAGGCACAGGGCTTCTTGTAGTGCAGGCCTAGCTGTCCAGGTGCGTGCGTTCATTCACGTCATGCCAAGTTGGCGCCCCAGGAAAAAAGGCCCTCGCTGCTGCCAGTGTTGTAGTGTGCGCACGCTTGCTGTTGGATCCCGTCCTCGATCTTTCCTGTCCGCGGACCATCTAATAATACTCAGTAGTATAGGGACACTACAGATACTGTAGGGACACTAATTGTGTAATTTAATCAACGTGGGCGGCAAATGTTGTTCGTCTCCTCGTCGGAGCGCGGGGTGAAAAGAAGTATTGTCTGCTGTTTTCGCGCCTGAGAAGCAAAGCAGCACGAGCATTGACGCCAGCTCAGCATCCCGGACCACGTGTTGCTGCGTTCCATTCGTGACACCGAATTTGGAGAGGAGATTGAGAGTCTATCATCGATCGCGGGCATGTCAAACTCCGCTGTTGTCGGTAGGTTATACCGCCCTCCCGCCTTCACCGCCCTCCCCGGTACCCCCCTCACTCTCCCTTTCTCTCCTGTTGTTGGGCATCTTGACACTGCCGCTCCCTGTAAACCTAGGGCGAGTTCTCTCTCTCTCTCTCTCTCTCTCTTCTACCTGGATCTCGCGCACGTGCCCCTCTGTGTGGTCTTGGTTTTGCAACCTGTACCCTTCTAGCCTTCTGTTGTCAATCGTGCTGACTGTTCTCCGTCCGTGTTTTATATTGTTCTGCGTCCCTCAATGGTCATTGCGTTAAGTGTTAAGTGTCTGTTCATGCTCTTCTTTTCTTTCTCTCTCCTGTTTCTTTTCAAATCTCGTAGTCTATTCGTTTCTCCCTCTTCGCCCTTCACGTCTTCCTCCCACTTTGGGCCTTTGTGCAGTCAGACACAGAAGAGAATACCTCCTCGTTTTCATCTTCTTCGATGTTTCTCGTCTGTCCGCAGACTACCTTCTTCCCCCGAATACAACGTACGGTCATTATAGCTGTATTTGGGTTGTCTTTCAGACTAAATATACAGCTATAATGACCGTTTGGTGTATTCGGGGGAAGAAGGTAGGCTACCCCGCAGGTCATCTTGTCCTCGACTGCTCTTGTGATGTCTCTCATCACTCTGGCAGATTTATGAATGTATGTGATTCCATGTTGTTTCTCGCGTAAGTAACGACTGCCCTCGTGTGCTTTTTCCTGCCAATCGATGGTATCATCTCTTCCTTTCCTTCTATCGGCGCTCTGTCTTGCTGTGCCCGCGAATTCCCGCCAAGTGAGATTGCCAAGCGCTGTTTCCCGCGCCTGTCGAGGCTCTCCCCTGGTGTCTACGGCGGAATCTGTCTTTCTTGTTCGCTCCTCTCGCGAATAGACGGTCTTGCCCCTCTTTGCACAATTCCGCGGAGTCCACGATGGGCGGGAGGCACATACACCCGCTTCTTCGTCGGGATCGGGGCGGCGGGGCTCCCATCATCATGTTGTTTGCCCATCCATCCGGAATCCTCTGTCGAAGAATTCCCGCGTCTACTTTTTCCCGCCATTAATCGATGCTGCTCTCGTCCCTCTCGCTTTCGCCAAGCGATGCGTGAATACCTCTCTCTCGTTTCCCGCCAAGCGATGCGTGTATCGCTCGTCCGCGCCAGTTTATGCCCGCCCGCGCAACTGATACAGTAGATTGATTTCCAGCAAGTAATCGACGGTCGAATTTGCGGTCTCCTGCTTGTCAGTTAGTGGACACCTTCCATTTCCCGCCAAGTGATGCGTGTATCGTTCAGTAGCTCGACGGTCGAAATGAGAGAGGTAAGATTCACGCACAAGTAATCGACTGCTCATTTCCATTACGAACACACACAATGCACTCACTGCGTCATCGGCGGGAAAATATGCCCGCGTCCATCCCCCTCTAGCCGCCTAATTACTTGTTGAAGTCGTTTTCCCACTAAACACGAGGACACCTTCCTCGCTCATTTCCATCACGAACACACAATGCACTCACCACCTCATTGGCGGGAAAATATACCTGCGTCCATCCCCCTCTACCCGCCTAATTAATTATTTGTTGAAGTCGTTTTCCCGCTAAACACGACGAGCTGAACCTAACCGGATGTGGCGCGGGGTTTCTCTACATCGTGCTCCGTCCTCCTCTACCCGCCTTTTTCTCAATTCCAAGCGATGACGTCAGCTTTTTCTCCCTTTCTCATCATGGTGTTTTGCAGTCCACATGCCTCGAATACATGACCTCTCTCGTCTCCCGAGAGTTTCGATCGCTTCCTCCCCCGCTTTTGATGTTATCGCATGGTCGCTTTTTCCCGCCTTTTTCTCAATTCCCGCCTTTTCTTGCGCCTGACTCTGCGTGGCGAATCTTAATCTCGTGTTGGGTAATAATGCAATTGCAACCTGTCTCCTTGCGCTCCTCTGTGAGCACATGTTCGCCTCCCCTTTGATTGATGGTTTCGTCGCCTGATGTCGCGTGTTGAGGTTATAAGGACCGTCTCTTTTCGTTTATGCTCATCGTTGTTTCTTTGTCGAGTCTCTCGCTGCTTCTCTATAAGCTACTTCACGCCCTCTTCAACCCCTGCTTGTTGCGATACACATGCTCCCATGTACAGAAAATGTTGTGCCCTTATAGGGCCTCGCTGCACTACTCTCGACGTGCACAAGAGACAACAATCATGGCGGTGTATCTTTCCATATTCTAGCGGAAGATTCACTCTCGTTTTGCACATTTCGAGAGTAGTGCAGCGAGGCCCATAGTTTCCGCCGTAGCCGCTGCTGTGTTATCAGTCTACCTGATCCGTCTTTTTCTCGCTTTGCTTTCTATTCTTGCCTGCCGGAGGGGTAAGTGTTCATGGAGTCTCTCGCTGCTTCTCTTGGCTACCCGTCCTCTTCACCCCCTGCTTGTTGCGATATACATACTCCCGTGTACAGAATACATTGTGCTCTTACAGTCTTCGTCATAGCCTAGTCTTCGCCATAGCCAGTCTAGCCGATCCTTCTTTCTCTTGCTTTGCTCTCTGTTCTTGCCTTTGGAGGGGCAAGTGTTCCTTGCCACCGTCATTCAGTATTCCGCTTCTCTTTGCTGCTTCTCGCCCTCTTCTCCCCCTGCTTGTTGCGATAAACGGAGTCTCATGTGCAAAATATGTGGTGCCCGTACAGGTCTTCGTCGCCATAGCCGCCGTTGTGTGATCAGACTTGCATCTGCGCTTATCATGACTATTTTCGCGGCTCCTTCTCTTTTGTACCTGAGGTGCGGGGGGCATCTAAAATTTTGCCACCAGCTTTCGGGGGCCTGTCGGATTACCTTTCGGGGGGGGGGGGGGGGGGGGGGAGGGGGGTAATTCTTAACTTTTGCCACCAGCTTTCGGGGACCTTTGGTGGGGGCTTCTTGCGATATACATGCTCTCATGCACAGAAAATGTTGTGCCCTTAGTCTTTGCCCACTGCAGCTGTCGGGGACCTTTTGCCGCTGACCGGGGGTAAACGGGTATAAACGTGCTGTCGCCGGGGGGATCTATAACTTTTCCCATGCTTTCGTCTTTCTATTCTTTGCTCTTGGAGGCATGTGTTCGTGGCCACGGTCTTTGAGAATGCTCTCGCGATCACCTTAGCACTGCAAGGATACGGTTATAATCATAATAAGCTTTTAATAACCTTAATATATAATCATAATAAGCTTTTAATAACCTTAAATATATAACACTGAAAATGGAAAAAAAAAAACAATGGTGAGGCGAGTACCAAAAAATAATCGTTGCAATTGCAAGTACACAATTGTAATAGTACAGTAAAGTCGTTGGTGAAAGGCTATAGATATAGTGGTGTGACCGCTTGTATAGCTATAGTGGTGTGACCACTGTATACAAGCATATTTTGAAGTATCGAGTGATGGAGAGTAGTAAAATTATTAGATACTACCGGTAGGGTGGGGTTGGTATCAAAAAGAGTGATTACAGTTGCGCCCGACTCTGTATAATAATGGTTCTGTCTATCAGGAAACTGTTTTCATATGGGTATATGAATCACCTACAGTCTTCCCCCGAATACAACGTACGGTCATTGTAGCTGAATTTAGACGGAAAGATAGACCAAATTCAGCTATAATGACCGTACGTTGTATTCGGGGGAAGACTGTATGGAGGTTAGTCTTTGTTGTAGACTTTCAACCAAACCGACTCGTGGAGAGAGTTGCCTTCCTGGCGCTACCGGTAGAAGACAAATTGCGGATGGTTGATAATCGCTCGCCTGTTGTCGCGTAGTACGTATGTTAGTATTCGGTCACTAGACGACAAATTCGTTTCGCTTTATTATTCAAGTCGCTGAAAGACGAAACTTGCTCTCACAGCGTGTGCACCCCCCTCCCCTCCCTCCACTTTTCCTCGTCATCCGGCGGTGGGATTCCCGAGGAAGGAAACAAATATAAAGTATATGGCTTATATATAGATTGTGGTGCGCGAGTTTGTGCAGGCCATTGACTTTGTATGTATGAGGTGCGCTTTGAGAGGCGCGCCCTTTGGTAATTTTTTGCGCTTTGGGAGGCGCGCTTTTTGTTTTTTTTTTTTACTTTTTGTGGTATAAACGTGATGTGGAGTTGTTGCATGCACTTCGATAGTACGCAAATGCCCAATCTGAAGGTGCTGAGAGTGTGTCATCGTCGCAATAGCACAACAAGGCATGCACTTAAAGCACCACTACACCACACGTCGGCACGACGCGGGTGTCAGTCGATGAGGCATGAAACCCGCACCAAGTAGAAGGCCGCCGATTTTTTTTTTCAACGGAGCCCTTGGCCGCACGGCGCCTCCGAGTTTTGCTTGTGGCGACAAAAAACTTTCGGCAAGGCTGGGGCCGTGTACTAGTAGCGTTTTAATAGAACGCAAAAGCCGAATCGGAAGATGTCGAGAGTGTGTCATCCTCACAATAGCATTCATTTCGGTTGGATTCTTCTTGGACCTTCGTTGCTTATTTGGGGTGGATTCGACGAGTTTTTTTTTTTTTTTTTTTTTTTTTTTAACGAGTCTTTAGTATCACTGGTTGCCGTGAAGAGGGGTAGGGTGACCACCACTGGGAAGGAGCTAAAATCACACCATGACAAAGATGAAAGGAAAAAATCGTTGTTTAACTGCTGGTACACCACTTGTTTGTTCATTGAAGCTTTTTTTTTTTTTTTTCAAGAAGTAAATGTGGATCGTCTCTCGATTTAAGCGTGACATCCTTGAGTGTGCAGGGGGCCATGGTAATCTTCTCTCTGTGTATCGTTCCATTCCTTTTGGTGGATGTCTGGAAGGACAGAAAAAGCTCTTCTGATTATCGTTGGTAGCTTTGGCTTTCTGAGATATCAATAGATTGATTCATCGAAAGCTCCGCCACCGATGGGATAGACGCTGATCTGTGTACAGGGTGGAAATGGTAAACACGACAGACTAAAACACTTCGACGGCGTTCTGGGGAAAGAACAAGCTGTCGGATAGTGCTGCTGCTTGAAAACGAAGTGTTATGACATTCATAATTAAGGATAAATAACTGTTCGATGAGATTGTTGTTGACTAGCTAATAGGAATGACGAAGCGGAAGTTGAGGATGGTCGATTAAGGCACCACGATAGTAATAACGGCGGCGGCTTATTGCAGCCGATCGTATTTGTGCATCGTAGGGAGGGGGGGGGGGGGGGGGGGCAGGTCCTTCAATGATGATTGATTAGGTGAGGAGGGAAATCATCGGTATTGACGATTGGAGTTTTTTTTGTCGTTTTGTGGGTGACAGTTCCTCGTAACTTCCGGCTCCTTGAGGAGCTGGAGAGAGGCGAGAAAGGGTTTGGTGATGGCAATGTGAGCTATGGAATGGACGATGGCGAAGACGTCTTCATGCGGTCGTGGACGGGGACCGTCATCGGTCCAAGTAATGTACGTGGGATTTTGCTCTCCCTCTCCCCTTTTGCTTTTTGCCCCTCTGTCGGAGCTGTTATTCCGGTCTCTACGAACTATATATTCTGAACATGTGGAGTTATAAGGAAGAAGATAAAAAACTGAATTCATGTTTCCTGGTTTTCTTTCTTTTTTTCTTTTTTTCCTTTTTTCGCATTTGCGCTCTGATATTCTTGTGACAATATATCCGTATGTCTTTCTCCAATCACTACGGTGTTACTGATGTTGCGTGGTGCTTGTGGCAGCCGCCTGCTCGCGTGAGGATGTGAGGAAGTGCGTGGTTGGATGGAAGAAGCAACAGAGAAGTATCTGTGAGAGAGGGAGGTCGGGGGGCAAGTGAAGAAGTGGCTGTGGTTGACTGGTGGAGGGGTTGAGAGCACGGGTTTGTGGGCAGCGGGGTAGAGAGGGAGACAAGATTGGCACGAGAGGAGAGGGGGGGGGGAGGTTAAGACTGCAATCATCGGGGGCGAGGCAGATGGGTGATGGAAGCATCAGCGGTGGGGATCGCGTGGTGAGGGGGTGTAGTTTTAAAGGGTTTGGTTGCCTGATGGGAACGAGAGGGGAAGAAAATGGGAGGAAGGGTATCGTAGGGGCGGCGAATCCACAGGGCGGTTGGAACGCAGCGAATGAGGTGAGGTGGGGGTTAGGGTCTCCTGGCTTGTTGTCCCGTGTTTTGTGGGGCAGTTCGTTGAAGGAGGGTTTACAGCATGACGAGGGAGAGGTGATGGTGGTGAGTGGTCGCTGTGAGGGGTTGTCAATAGGGAGCGAGGGAGGAGAGGACGGAGGAGCGCAGTGGAAAGAATGGAGGACGAGAAGAAGGTTGTCTGTTGGCATCTCTGCATCACGTTTCTTTCGTGCGGGTTCCTCAACTCTTCTCTTCTCTTCTCTGTGCCGCTCTCCCTTTCCCTCTTTTCTCTTCACTTTACCTCTGCCTGTCTCCCCCTCTCTGTGTCCCCCTTTCCCTTTTTTCCCTCTTTCTTCCCTCACTCCCCTCTCTCCCATTCTCTCTCTCTCTTTCCTTTTGCTCTTTCTTATTATGTTCTTCCTTCTCTTCTACTCTATCTCATTGCTCGCCTCTTTTTTTTTGTGGTTTTTGTGTGATTTACTGCATTATGAGCGTGATGTTTACGTGGTGTATTGCTTTGGTACTGTGGTGGCTTTTGCGACGGTTTTGCAGACGGTGCACGACGGACGCATTTACACTGTGAAGCTCTATTGCGACAAGGACTATCCGGACAAACCGCCAGCTGTCAGATTTGAATCACGGATCAATATGGCGTGTGTCAATCAAGAAAGCGGCGTGGTATGTTGTACTCGGTACAGTTTTCCATGATGTCATTTTGTTGCTGTTGTTGTTGTTTTTGTCGTTGTTTATAAATGGTTCGTGCACCTTTTTAGGTGCGAAACTGCAGACACGGGCTGACGGATCCCCTCTCTCCGATTGAGTGTGTTTGATAAAAGACTGTTGCATGGGATTTTCCTGTTATACGATATCCTAGGGCAACGTCGAACATTCCATCTCATCAACCTGCAGGTGTGTTCACCGGTCAGCTTACGCGGTTTGACAGATTTGTGACAATTGGCATATGATTTGATTTCAGAAGGCTGCGGCAACCATGCTGGTCGCCGTTTGCTTTCTTCTCGTGGCCATGCTCCATCCACATTAGCCACGTGGATGCCACGTGGATGGACGTGTTACATTCGTGCTCGCCAACGACGACACCCTGTACATGTAACTCGTCTTACACAGTGGTTTCGTCGTATGCTTCGGTGGTCCGTGCATCATCCTCTTCCACCTTCTCCCCCTTCCTTCCCCCCTCCTCCCTCTTCCTCCCCTCCTCCTCCCCCTTCCTCTC